CCGGCTACTATAAAATCTTCTGAAACTTCAAATCTAAGTAAAAAGTTCACTCTCAGAAAACTTTATTATACAGATATTGAAACAGACGCGAAACGAGAACATTTGTCTTGGAAAAAAATTAATAAACCTTTTGTCGGCGCTACTAATCGACACAAGACTTCTCACCAAGGAAATAAACATTCTATTAATGATACCATAGACGATTCTGACATCGTTGATCATGAAAACGGTAAAATATGACTTGATATCAGAGGCAAATCCAGACTCTAGCACTTCCCTTCTAACAGGTGGGAAGCCGAATTTACGTATAGCACGTGTGAACTACGATAATAATTCTGAATTATCAACTAAAGTTGCCAACGAAAAATCTGTGGGTATAAATACTGCCATAGATAATATTAGCAAGACAGCCGATAGAAAAATATCTCTGAAATTTGAAGATTCTTATGATCTGTCTAAGGAGAGTCTGAATAAGCGAGGGGGGAATATCCTCCAGCTCGGTATAGATTCTAAATATTTGGATCTCGGCGTCCACAACCTAGATAATTTGTTTAGGTAACACTCGTATGTTCTCGATTTTCCTTTAGTGAACACGTTGCTCCTGTGATTCAGCCTGTTTATAGCAATACAACCTGGAACTCTGCTGGTTCTAAAGCTGGAATACATCCTCATCTGCTTTCTAGCTTAAATTTTTTTTCGAACATAGACTCAATGACAGCTATACAGAGCGTAAGTCTCCCTGCCTTAGTTTCTGGGAGAAACGCATTAATAAAAGCTCAAACGGGATCAGGAAAAACGCTTGCGTATGCTGTACCTCTGCTAAATTATCTCATTAAACTTGAACCCCCAATAACTCGAAGTAGTGGATCCCTTGCATTGATCATTTTACCAACACGAGAACTTGCTATTCAAACGTCTACAGTATTTTCTACTCTCACCAGATCATGCGTTCGAATCGTTTCTGGTCTAATGATCGGTGGTATTAAGCGAAAGTCTCAGAAGGCTAGGTAGGTAAGATTATTTTCTCCATCGAGCGTTCCATAAAGATTTCTATTATCATGTAACCACTTTTTTTGTCAGCCTACGTAAAGGAATCAACATTGTTATTGGCACTCCCCAGAGAATTCTTGATCATATGCATATGACAAAGTCTTTGGATCTCAAGTGTATACGCTGGCTAGTAATTGATGAGGCAGATCGTCTCCTTGAGATGGGTTTTGAACGAGATGTCCGACGCATACTCACTTCCTTGACCCCCAATCTTGGCTCGCCACCAGATAGTGGACTGTTCAAGGGCCCTACTCAAGTCATACTCCTGTCAGCCACGCTAACACCAGGTTTATTAATTTTGATTTTTTTTCTTCTTAATCAACCATCACTCATTCTTCTAAATACTCTACTATATGGTACTATAAATCGAAGAATTTATTTATGCC